TAGACCTGCCTCTTGATGAAAGTTTGCTTCTTTGTTAAAAGAAGTTTTCAGTCAAGGTACAGTATTATTTTCTCAGGAACAGAGAACTGGAATTTTCTGACTGGGCATGGTGGTACATGCCTGTAATTCCAGCTATGCAGAAGCAGAAGCAGAACGCTTGTGATTGGGGGGGAAGGGGGAAGAAATGACCCAAACATTGTATGCACATATGAATAAAATAAAAATTAAAAAAAAAAAAGAAGACTTCTGAGTTCAAGACCAGCCTGGGCAAACTTAGCAAGACCCTACTTCAAAATACAAACAAAAGGGCTGGGGGTATAGCTCAATTGGTAGAGCCTGCTCAGGCCCCTAGATTCCATTCCCAGTACTGCAAAAACAAACAGACCCCCGAAACATCAACAAAAAACACAGAACTGGAATTTTCTAAGCTCAATTAACAACATCCTAAATGCCAGCCAGCATCCTTAAAGCTTAAAAACTGTTTGGGGGCAGTCTCAATACATTTTTCACTTAAGTAGCAACAGTGCCTATTTAATAACCTGGTTGGTACCATGCTTCAGGAGTCATCTGCCACTTAGAACGTCAACTAACTGAAAAGAACTTAACTGTTACTTCATTCTTGAAACAAACTTTGAAACTTAATACAATTAAGTACTTACCCTAAAATTCAGAAAGTACTTATTTTTTTGGAGACAGGGTCTTGCTATAAAGCTCAGACTGGCTTTGAACTCACAATCCTCTTGCCTCAGCCTCCCATGTGCTGGTATTACAGGAGTGAATATCATGCCTGGCTTGAGTATTAAAAAGAATATTTATAGAGATTGGAAATAGCCAGTACTATTTTTCTATCAAACATATATGAAGAATTGACGTTTTGGGCCCATTAAAAAAAATTAAAAGCATTTATAACCCTTCTTAGTGACCATTCTCTTAAAAGCCTTTCATAAGCAGCCTTTGGCCCCAAATCTTAATGTGGAATTAAGAGAAAAAAGTCTCCCTTGGTCTACACACTGCCTGTGAGGTTTTGAGAGATCACAGCTGAATATTCACCAGGGTGGGAATTCCAGTAGGTGGCTGGCTTCCACAGTCTTTGGCACACTCATTTTCTTTCTGACACCCATCTTCACTCGTGTCAGGCACATTGGAACATGAACTTAAGTCTTCTGTACAGCTGTTGCCCTCTACCAATTTAACGTCAGTCTCTTTTTCAGCCACAATCTCATCAGAGGCCTCTCTTAGCATTGTTAACCTATGGTGAAATAAAACCAAGCATAATGTAAGTCAAGCAGGCAACCCCACCACCAGTACAACTTGGGCACATTAACCCATTATCTGGGATATAAACAGAAGCCACACAGAATGATTCAAGCCATTCTTTGGATGGAACTTGTAAAAAATAAAATTCTCACTTTATTCTCCAGCAATCTACAGCAAAATCACCAGTGTGTACTAAAAGTTAAATTTATGAAATTTGACTTAATTTCCAATATTAAAAATAGAAATATTCTGAAAATCACAATTGAATTTTAATTCCTAGAATTTAAAAATATTGACTTGCTATAAAATAACTTGGTATGAGTTATTCATTTATCATAAAATTAATCATATAAAAGAATGGGTTTACTTTCAGCTAAGAGTGAATAAAGACATAAAGATTAAAAATGCCCCTTCCTACTATGCTCACAGTCTAGCAAAGGAACCCTGCACAGAGGGAGTTTTGCTCCTAAACCAACAGAAGACTCTTTGTGCTACATGTGCTCATTTTTAACTGAAGCCATGGCAGGGGTTTGGGTGGCTCCAGAACATGAAGTCAGTCTATACAGAGTGTAGAAAGCAGGAGTACTGGGATGGTTTAGAACAGCTCATTCTTTGCTGAGTTTTATGTTCTTAAGATGAAGACATTTTTTTCCACTGACATCTAAATATTAGCTTTAGTTGCAATTAGTGACAGACTGACAAATTGACAGACTAGTTATTAAATGTCTAGCCATGAAATGAACTCAAGGAATACAATATAATGAACTCAAGAAAGAACAGCTATGACTACGGAGTTATAAATTCCTTTATTTACATACTAAGTAGATTTTCTGAAATGCATGAAATAAGTTGTATTTTTACAAACATGAGAAAAGTTTAATATTTAAAGATACTATGATAAACCTTAAAGATCATTCTCATCTTTATTTGTGCTGCAGTGCTCTTTTATTCACTCTGTAGGACTTTTGATGAGCACAAAGTATCCATACTTTCTGTAAATCACTGTTGTGTCCCTTCCTTCCAAATGTCTCTGACTGTGCTATTTATTTATATATTTTAAATTACATTAGTTATTTATTTTGATGGTACTGGGGTTTGAACTCAGGGCCTTATACTTGTTAAGACAGGTGTTCTAGCACTTGAGCTACTCCACCAGTCCTGACTGTGCTATTTATGATACCTTGTCATGCTGGGTCAGTAAAAAGTTTAATATATACATACACATGTGTTAATTGTAGTCCAATCAAACATTACAAGCACCTATATATAAAAATTAATCCAAATGAGTTACATACTGTATATACTTAAAAACTGAAGAATTCACTAAAATTTGTTTTTAGAGAAAGCAGTGCAAACCAGGAAAGACAGCTCTTTATATCTATGTACACACATAAATATACGAATCTGGACATTCCTTTTTAAAGGATGGTGTATTGATACAGAGAAAGAAACAGAAAAATAAAGCAAAAGTGGAAATGGGTATTGAAATGGCAACTCAGAAACTATTTTCTAAATACCTGCTTGGTCTTCTACCACCTAAATAGCACTACTGGTAGTTTAAAGAAAGAGCCAGTTTTAAAATTGCCTATGACTCTACAATAAGCTACCATGTCTTTCAAAATTGACAAGTTAGACTTAAAAAAAATAAGCTGAGAAAACTGTTAATTGTTTGAAACAAGAGTAAAACATCTGGCTATTGTGTTATTTTGTCCACGATCTTGCCATGACCTCCCTGGACTCTAATGACCAAGAAGAACTTTCACGCCCTTCCCATCTGAAGCCACATTGTTTTCTGTGATCCCGTCATGGTTTTCGGGAGTGTCTTAGGAGCAACAGAGCACCCCAGTGCCTTCCCGCTAGGAAGAAAGGACCATACCAATCTCCTTCTGGACCCTGCTGCTCTTCTGGGCCTGGTTCCACTTTTTCTTGTGCTAATTCTTGTTCCACAGCCAACAGTTCAGCTGATGTTCTCGCAAGTAAGGCTGACACTGCATCCTGGAGAATGTAAAACATATGGCAATTAACATCATACACTCCAAGAAATGATTTAAAAATAATCAGATAAAGACTTATACTCCAGCTGCAAAGAAGCAACTTGAACCAGACCCAACTGTCCTGCTGAGAACAAATATGAAAGCTGAATAAAATGAAACAAAACCCCCAAGCCCCAGATGTTGTAAAGCAGTTAAGAGCAGCAAAGGCTATCAGGACTAGAGGTCCCAGAAGAAGAGAAATCCAAGAGGGGAAGCAACCATCACTGTCACCCTTTCCCCTAGAGGGCATCTGTCAATTCTAGGTGCAAGGCATGCAGGCTAAACAGGCTGACCACGTGGACCACAGCCACAGAGTGAGCCAGATGGGAAGATGGCACTGAGTGCAAGACTACCAAGGCAGCCAGCGCACAAGGGTCAGAGCAATGAACAGTGAGGTGAACCCAGTTACACATTTTATCCCACTAAGGCAGGTGCTTTTCTTAAACTGCACATATGCAGAGCAAAAAGCCAAGAAACATCAAAAAGCCAGTTGCAAGGGTGGGGGGGAGGGAAGGGGGCTGAAACAGTAAGCAGATATTTCAGGTGTCTCCCAGGGTTCTAAGGAGAGAAAAATTGGAAATCAAGTATACCAGTGATTCAGGTCACCTTCGCAAATTGTAATTTGCCTTCCAGAAGAATATCAAATCCACTGTGTAAAACTACTATCAGCCAGAGCCTCTACAAATCCTCATACACAATGGGCAGCATTCCATCAAGACCTAATGACAAATGCCAAAATAAACAATAGACAAAAGAGGCAGACCCACAGGTGATTTACACACTGTAGGCACTGAGAGAAGGAGTTTAAAGGTTTAAAAATACCATGATGAAATGACAATTTCACTAGCATAAACACAAAGAAAACCACATGAACACATAAGAGTGAAGTTGCTGAAAATCAAAGAAAAAAACTTACAAGAAAGGAAAGAAAACAGAATGCATTATTTTTTAAAAAATAAAAAATTAGGCTGTCCTCAATAGAATCAATGGAAACCAGATGACAAAAGTGGTGTCTGTAACATGTTCAAAGAAACAGCTACTCACCTAGAACTCTGCCATGTAGCAAAAACACTGTCCTTCACAAATGAAATTGAATTAGACACTAGGAGACCTATACTAAGAGAAATGTTAAAGGGAATTCTCCAGGCAGAAGGAAAATGACCTAATGGAAGCACAATGCTGAAAGGAATAGAATATACCAGTGAGGAAAAGATGTGGGGAAATTAACTCAATACTGATTGTCAACAAAACAACAGTAATGTCTTGTGTGACTCAAAACTATAGGTGACTAAAATGTGCAACGATACTACACAGAAGGAGGAAAGGGGATAAATGGAGTTAGTCTTTTAAAATCTTTGAACATTTAAGAAAAAGTAATCTCCCATGCTCAGGGATTGGTAGAATCAACATAGTAAAAATGTCGATACTTCCAAAAGTAATCTACATATTTAATGCAATTCCCATCAAAATTCCAATGACATTCATTAAAGAGATCGAAAAATCTACCATGAAATTTATATGGAAACACAGGAAGCCACGAATAGCTAAGGCAATACTCAGTCAAAAGAACAATGCAGGAGGTGTCACAATACCTGACCTCAAACTATATTACAAAGCAATAACAATAAAAACAGCATAGTACTGGCACAAAAACAGACACGAAGACCAGTGGAACAGAATAGAGGACCGAGATATGAAGCCACATAACTGTAACCAACTTGACTTTGACAAAGGCGCGAAAAATATACGAGAGAGAAAAGACAGCCTCTTCAACAAAAACTGCTAGGAAAACTGGTTAGCAGTCTGCAAAAAACTGAAACTAGATCCATGTATATCACCCTATACCAAGATTAACTAAAAATGGATCAAGGATCTTAATATCAGACCACAAACTCTAAAGTTGATACAGGAAAGAGTAGGAACTACTCTGGAGTTAGTAGGTATAGGTAAGAACTTTCTCAATGAAACCCCAGCAGCACAGCAACTAAGAGATAGCATAGATAAATGGGACCTCATAAAGCTAAAAAGCTTCTGTTCATCAAAAGAAATGGTCTCTAAACTGAACGAACACCCACAGAGTGGGAGAAAATATTTGACAGCTACACATCAGACAAAGGACTGATAACCAGAATATATAGAGAACTTAAAAAACTAAATTCTCCCAAAACTAATGAACCAATAAAGAAATGGGCAAGTGAACTAAACAGAATTTTCTCAAAAGAAGAAATTCAAATGGCCAAAAAAACACATGAAAGAATGCTCACCATCTCTAGCAATAAAGGAAATGCAAATTAAAACCACACTAAGATTCCATCTCACCCCTGTTAGAATGGCCATCATTAGCAATACCACCACCAACAGGTGTTGGCGAGGATGCAGGGAAAAAGGAACCCTCTTACACTGTTGGTGGGAATGTAAACTAGTACAATCACTCTGGAAAAAAATTTGGAGACTACTTAAAAAGCTAGACATTGATCTACCATTTGATCCAGCAACACCACTCTTGGGGATATACCTAAAAGACTGTGACACAGGTTACTCCAGAGGCAACTGCACACCCATGTTTATTGCAGCACTATTCACAATAGCCAAGTTATGGAAACAGCCAAGATGTCCCACTACTGACGAATGGATTAAGAAAATGTGGTATCTATACACAATGGAATTTTATGCAGCCATGAAGAAGAATGAAATGTTATCATTTGCTGGTAAATGGAAGGAATTGGAGAACATCATTCTGAGTGAGGTTAGCCTGGCCCAAAAGACCAAAAATCGTATGTTCTCCTCACATGTGACATTAGATCAAGGGCAAACACAACAAGGGGATTGGACTTTGAGCACATATAAAAGCGAGAGCACACAAGGGAGGGGTGAGGATAGGTAAGACACCTAAAAAATTAGCTAGCATTTGTTGCCCTTAACAGCAGAGAAACTAAGCAGATACCTTAAAAGCAACTGAGCCAACAGGAAAAGGGGACCAGGAACTAGAGAAAAGGTGAGATCAAAAAGAATTAACCTAGAAGGTAACACACACGCACAGGAAATTAATGTGAGTCAACTCCCTGTATAGCTATCCTTATCTCAACCAGCAAAAACCCTTGTTCCTTCCTATTATGGCTTATACTCTCTCTACAACAAAATTAGAAATAAGGGCAAAATAGTTTCTGCTGGGTATTGAGGGGGTGGGGGGGAGAGGGAGGGGTGGAGTGGGTGGTAAGGGAGGGGTGGGGGCAGGGGGAGAAATGACCCAAGCCTTGTATGCACATATGAATAATAAAAAAAAAAAAAAAGAAAGAAAAAGTAAAGGTAGTAATAGAAGATAATTTCTAATAAGTGAAGAATTCATTCTGTAATCTCAGGGAAACAACAAAAACAAAATAGTTCCAGCTTATCCATGGTTTTAGTTACCCACAATCAGCCATAATCCAAAAATATTAAATGGATAATTTCAGAAATAAGCAAATAAATTAAGTTTTAAATTGCACACCATTCTGAGTAGTGTGATGAAATCTCTAGCTGTCCAGTTCTGTCCTGACTGGGAAAAATCATCCTTTGTCTGTGTATCCACGCTGCATATGCTACCTGCCCATTAGTCACGTTAGCCATCTCGGGGATCATTATTGTCTGTCTATTGTGGAATCACAGTGCTTGTGTTCAAGGACCCTTAATTTAGTTAATAATGGCCCCAAAGTGCTGGCAATATGGACATGGCAAAGAGTAGCTACTAAACGCTTCCTTTAAGTGAAAAGGTGAAAGTTCTCAACTTAAAGAAAAACAATCACATTTGGAATTGCTAAGATCTATAGGAAGAATGAATCTATCTGTGAAACTGTGAAGGAAAAAGAAATTCATGCTAGTTTTACTGTCACATCTGAAACAGCTAAAATTATAGTCACAGTACTTGATAAATGCTTAAAAATGGTTTAAGAGAAACCATTAAATTTGTGTTTATGTACAGGAAAACACACAGTATATACAGGGTTCACACAGCATATCAGCAGTTTAAGGCATTCACTGGGAATCTTGGAACGCTTCCTCCATGGAAAGGGGACACTGGGTTACTGGTTACTGAGGAGCTAATGGAAAAGAAAAGGAAACTTTAAAGATGGGACTAAAGTACGATGATAGGTTCAAACCCATATGTATCAATAACAGCATTAATTGTAAATGAATAAATATTTCAATGACAAGATGAAGATTTTTAACTGGATAATAAACCAATACCAACTATATATTGCTTACAATTTAACATTTTAACTATAAGAACTCAGAAAGGTTGAAAGTAGAAGAACGGAGAAGATAAACCATGCAGATACGATGACTGCCACTACTAATGAAAATAATAAAAAGGCTTAGGTAGTTTTACCAATGCCAGACAACATACATTTTAAAACAAGGCGTGTTACTGGAGATAAAGAGAGACATTTCAGGACTGATGGAGTCATTGTCACTTGCTGACCAATACTTTTGGAATGATCCCTTCTTTTTAACTATCTGAAGATACTGTCTGAAGAAGATGAGTGCTATTCTTTCCTTAAACATTTGAAAAGTAAAGTTAATAACTTGATTTGCAGTATGTACACTCATCCTAGAACAATGGAATGTTTAGCCAAAACCTCACACATGCTAAGCCACAATATTGTACTCTGTTTTCTGAAAAGTGAAATAAATCTAGACATTAATGACAGAAAAAAAGAACTAGAACATCTCAATGGTTTGTTGATTAAGTAAATGTATTTTAAAACTCTATGGATTGAAAATGAAATCACAATGGGAATGACAACATGGTTTTAATTTTATGATAATTTATAATGTCACATCATATTTGTGACAAAACAGTGCTCCAAGAGAATTTTTTAACCCTAACTGGATATATCTGAAGACTATAAAACAGATAAGTCTTCATCTCAAGCAGAAGAAAAGCAGCAAATTAAACCAAAAAAGTAGAAGCAAAAAAATAAT